CATAATCAGGTTCTTCCTCCTCTTCTGGACGTGCCTTCTCAACCTCTTCTTTGGATTCTTCTCTTGTCCTCTTTGCTGCCCGGGCTCTCTCTTCAGACTCATCACGTCTGTTCTGGAGCTTGTCATTGATGGCTCCTTGCAATGCCATGAGCTGTTCCCTGTCTAGGTCGTTCAATCCAGTTGGATCTATTCCCTTCTTGAGTGAATCTGACGACGCTTCTGGTAGGACTTCCTCGAGCTCGTTCACGTGGTCTTCCACGGGATCTTTCTCGTGACCTTCTTGGAGACTTCTCTCTTTTCTTCTTCTTCTCTTCTTTTGATCCAGTGGCCTTTGGCGGTGTATCTTCTCTCTTTTCTGCTTTGTGCTTTTTCTTCTGATTGTCATCCTTTGGACCCTCGGTATGAACCTTGGATTCTCTTCCTGCTCTTCTTTCTTCCTCGTGTTGCTTGAATCTCTGGTCAATTGCCTCCAGGAGGTAATCACGAAGTTGATTTGCTATGTTCGACTTGATGTTGTTGTGGGCTCTGATGATCTTGTCATCTAGTCCGCCTTCTCCTCCTGTGACGCATGCTTTGCAGGCGTGGTCAAAAGTGCATCCCTTGTAATGGAACTCTTTACCAAGATGTTCCAGGATGAGTTCTCTTTTGGTACGTGTGTTCTCAGACACTGCTTTGTGGAGTGCAGTGGCCACAAAAGGTGCAGTGCTTTTGCCAAATTGGTCCACGACAATCACCACTATCGTGCCTGTCCTTGAGTCTGTAGTCATTTCCTCCAGACGTCTTCCAGCTCTTGTGATGGACTTCTTCAATCTTCCACTTTCTTGGATGCCGTTCAACATTGCTGTACGGCCCATGTGACAGGCCCATGTGCCATCCTACTTCTTTTCCAAGTCTGGCATCAACAACAATGAAAGATGTGTTGTTGTCTTTCCATATTCCATCTGTAACCCTTTTCTGATGTGCGTTGTGGTGCCAGTTGACTGTCCAGGCAACTGTATGTCCCAGACTGTCCTCTTCCTCAGTAAGGAAGTTGTCTGAGTAGTTGTTGAAGCCGTTCTTAATGAATCTCTGTTCTTTTGTCAAGCCTCCCTTGGGGTTTCGAATTGCCCACTTGGCTGACTCATCTTGATTGACATAGCCTAGGCTGAGAAAGACCAGTTTCTTTCTCTCTTTACTTTCTTTTCCTTCTGCCATGAGACAGGTCAGGTCCTCCTCCGTCTCTTTTCCTTTTGCTTGATCGGAAATGGCTACGGGCAGAGTTTAAGCATGAGAAGCATGGTCCATGTCACATGTACTGCATTCATGGACTTCCGTGGTTGGTTGTTTGTTGTTGGTCAGTCATGGTTCACTGTGTATGCTGGACGTGTCAGACATCTTGTCCTCTTGTTCAGTTCAGTCAGCCCATGACCCCCGGTCCTTCTGAATGGCTTCACCAGGCAAGTCTGGCATGCCGTTGCAATGCTTGCAAGCTTCTGTGAAGTACTCGAGCCATTCTTCACTGCCCCATCTGAGATACCTCAAGTGTGTTGGCAGCTTGGTTCTCCTGTGAAGGACGTTGGCCATGTTGCCGATGTCAATACACAGCAATCCATTTTTCTTTGCAACACAAAGCTCAATGGACACTCCATAGCCCTTAAGGACACACATGCCATTCCTCATGTCTTTCACCAGTCCCATAGTGCCCTGGTTTGGCAATGACAGCAATAGTGGAACAAAGCCTTCATGTCCAAGTTCTTGGCTTTGTAACACCCCAGCCAGGCTTCTCTGGTATGGCCCTAGGCTGACGTTGAAAGGAAATGAGTAGCAATGTTTTGTTGTCACTGGTTTGTCACCAACACCGTGGCATTCTTTCTTGGAGTCAAATCTCTCCACCACAAATCCTTGGTTGAGGAATTTCTCTTCTGCATTCTCACGCCACATCCGTGAGTGACATGTGGTGTTGCACCCCTCATCGAGGATAGCCCAAACAGATGCATCATTCATGATGTCAACTTCCCTGAGCTTTCTCGATGGACCAGGAATGACGGGCATTGTCTTTGCCCATGCATTTGGACCGTACCATGCAACCATTGCTGCAGCGGATCTTGTGTCAGGTCTTCTCACTCTTTCATGGATCACGTCAATGCTGTCAGCTAAAGCCTTCAGCAATTCACTTGGCTTCATCCTTGATGTGGATTCTTCCACAAATACTGTCAAGTGCTCGATGCAAGCTAATGCTTCTTCCCTGGAGAGAAGTTTCTCCTCTTGTGTCAACAGTTTCTTCACCACACAAACTGCTTCGTCTGACCCTTTTGCTTCGAGATCTTTTGCCATCTTGTCTCTCTCCTTTCTCTCAGCTTGTGGGTTTTTCATTGATGAATGTCTTGCATTGGAGACAGAATGTTCTTGATGTCTTCTTGGATGAACCACGATAGTCAAGTATTTCATGTGGACACTCAATTGGATCGTGTGTCTCCATGATTTCCTTCTTTGTGATGGTCTGCTTGCCACATACCTTGCAAGTTCTGATGTTGACGTATGCATTTGATCCACGTTTGGAGAAGCTCAGACATCCTCCAGGGCAACCTTTCTGGGTCTTATCATCCTTGATGATATCTTCTGACTTGGTCCAAGCATCTTTTGGTTTCAAGGTTAAATCTCCATCCTTGATCATGAAGATGCCTTGCAACCATTTCTTGAGGTTCATCTCATCCTTGACTTTTCTCGATGTGCTCATCACGTCCTTGCAGTAGTTTGGATCATTCAGCACAACCATCTCGTATGTGCTTCCTCTGTGTTTTGCAAGCTTCATCTTTGTCTCTTTCAGAGGAACGTCTTTCATCTTTCTAGCCATAGCTCGTTTCTCTGCTGCTCCTTCAGGTGGTGAAGGTGGTGGCGTCATTCCTGCCACTCTCCTGATTCAGATCTTTGGACAACTCTCAATGTTTGTGTTTCCTCTCAATGTTTGGTCAATGTTTTGGTCTGAATCGATGTGTTGGACTGAGCTCTTGGTTGATGCTCTCTCTGGCTTCCTGACAGTTCTTTTCACAGCCATCAGGGATTGGCCATCATCATCATGTGGCATTGGAAGCATCAGTCCTTCATCACGTTCACCTGGTGTGTGAACAGCTAGATGTGCCATAGCTTTCTTCTTTGGACAGACATTGTCTCCTGCCCAATGACCAATCTGTCCACAAGCTTGACATTTGGTCTTCTTCTTTAGCTCTTCCAGACGTTTTCTGCAGTCTTCCAGGGATAAGTCACCTGGTCTGGATTTGTATCCTTTCTTTCCAGCACCTTTGCTGTATCCCTTGCCTTTGTGCTTCCCAAATCTTGTTCCTTTTCCTTTGTTGTAACCTTTGCTGTATCCTCCGCTTGGACTCTTCCCTTTTCTTTTATAGGTCACAGCTGGCTCGGTCTCATCGTGTTCACCGGCCAGATATGCTGATTGCATTTCCATTGCAATCTGTTCTGCATCTTTGGATTCTGAGAAGTACTCATCCACTATCTCCTCATAGCGGTCTTGACATGATCTTTCATACCAGGAACTGTCTTCACCGTACCATGCAGTCTCAGGATACCATGATGCTTCTGCAGACTCCCAGGTCATATCCCATGAGTCGTCTGCATACCATGCATACAATTCATCTTCTTGCCAGTTGCTCTCACCAGCATCAGTGAAGTATGCTTCTGTCTCATCGTATTGGTACATGGATTCATCACATCCACTCCAATCTTCAGCACCATAGTAGCTTCTTGCCCAGCCTTTGCCTTTTCCTTTTCGATGCTGGGTCTTATTTGATCTAAGACTGTGAGAAATTGCGTGTTGCTTGACAAGTGCTTCTGAAATCACGTCAAACTCGAGACTATTGAATGTTGAGGTCATTACCATCAACTTTTCTGCTTGTGTCAAGTTGGCATGATCCAACAATAGTTCACCTCTCAACGTTGATGGGATCCCCAATTTTGGGTCCAGTAGTTTCAAGAGATCATACAAAATCTTCCTCCTTGAGATGTATGAGATGATGGGCTCACCAGCCTGTCTAGATAGCACCCCAGGCCTCTGGCCTGCCTTGAAGAGTTCACGTGCTTCTGCAGATGCCATTGGAAACAAATGCAGTTTGAGTGCTTCCACCAGCTTTGGCACTCCATCATCCTGTGATAGATTCTTCATGCCAAGCGACATGGCAACCTTGAGGCTTTCACCAGTCAAACCTTCACACAACTTGGATGCCAGCTTCCATTTCTCACTGTCTTCTGTTGAGTGGAATCTTGTCATCACTCGAAATTCCCACTCATAGAATCCTGATGGGGTTCCATCAAAGATGGGAGCACCTTGTTTGGATTCTTGTGTCTTCTGACCTACCCGCTCATAACGCAGAGTGGCCAAAGACATGTCCTTGCTTCTGTCTCGTCAGTTCTGACCTTCCCCTCCTTGGTACACAACACCAAGTTAGGGATTGGGCTCTTGAGATAGCAATCCGTCTCAAGTACAAAGGTGGTCTTCGAACCACAAGTGGCTCAGCTGGAACTTCAAATCAGCTCCGCTACCAATGCGAACTTTTGCCAGGTTTTGGACTCAAGCGCTGCGGTGCGCAGGGTATGCTCTGTACATGCATGCTGTTGACATGGTTGCACAAGACAGCTGTACATTTAACATGGTGCATTTTCAATATTTATCATTTGTAGTTATCCGGATTCTTTGACTTGTGGCACCTACCCAGAACGTTAGACAGGCTGAGACCTTGAAAGTCAACTACATTCAGTAAGCACAAAATGATTCCCAAGCTGACTCTGAAAAACCATGCGTTGGCATGGAAATTACAAGAAGTGGACATATAGTACTCTCTTCTGTATGATTTGGTGGAAATTATGCGATGTGCAGTGTGGTCTGAAACTGTTCATGAATTCTAGGTCAATATCGATGTGTGATTTTTCTTGCCATCAACCTTCATTCCTGCCGCTAACAACAGGCCCTCTCTAAACAAACCGAACAATTGCTTGAAGGAAATCCAGGAAACTTGAAGAAGGGACGCATGAATTCCCTGTCTTGCTCAATGAGGAACTTCCGATAGCAAACAATGTCACTCTCCAAACCGTTGAGGGCCAAGAACGAAGCCAAGAGGCCCAGCGTAAGGCACTTCCCTTCACCGGTCAGAACCTGTGCAAGGTGGTTGTCTGGCTGCTGGGAATTTCCAGGTTGTCCGCACACTTTGTCATGAACCCAATTGAAGATGCGCTTCCAAAGAGCGTCAGGCTGGGCCGCTTTGTGGCACTGCAAAAAGCGAAAGAGGGTCAACATCTGACCTCTGTGAGGAATAACCAACTTCCGCTCTTGCTGAGACACGTCTGCTTGAAGGAATTTCTTGCCAGACTTGACCAAAGTGAAGCAAACTGACAGGTGCGAGACTAGCTTCGATACAGCTTCAGCACTTTTGTCTTGACAATTGCATGCCTGTACTGCCATATCCAAGTCAGTTTTTGCTTCTTGCAAGATATCCTCCAACGGCCTGACCCCATGGTACAAATACTTGTTTTTCAATTGGTCGAACTGCTCTTCATGGTTTCGCAAAGCGGCGACCAACTCGTGGTACTCTGTGCCATCCAAACCGGATACCGAGGTCAGGCGCCCGACAATCTCATCCAGGTTCTGGTTTTCTCCGGCGCGACGGAACGATTCGTTGCTGTGCATATCTTTCACAGCTCCAAAAAAGTCGGGGTGTTCAGCCACAATGGTCTGGCCCAGAGGCGTCTGGACCAGAATCATTCCAAGAGTCGCAAGGCCCTGAACATTGAAGGCTTCTTTGTTCTGAAGATCTTGGAAGGCATCTTCAAGGGCAGATGTGACCCACTCGTGAGTGTCAGGGGCTGAGTTCGCCACTTTCCTCGCTTCCTGGCTGGCAGCGGCTGCATCTGGAATGTTCTGGGCAGACCGCAGCTTGTTCAAATGTTGATTCAAAAACCGCTCCCTCAAGTCGTTCTCCAAGTCAGCCAAAATCTTAAATGCAGCTGGGACTTCAACCAACTCTTCAGACACCAACTTACATACTTTTACCTCCGAGTTGAACTGATGAAAGTTCGCCGAGTCCAATGCTTGGCGGCCAACATCCTTCCGCTGCAACAGGTACTGCTCCACCACCGTGAGATCCAAAGCTTCGGTCTTCAGCACTGCTCGCAGCCTTTGGGAAGCGCTGTAACGACGGCTGATGTCCGAGAAGCGCCGGGAATCCACACAGTTCATCAAGATGCTGGGGTCGAGCAAACGCCGCAAGGGTTCTGCGAGAACTTCACGCATCCAGGCCTCAATTCTAAAGCAGCAACGAACAACTGGCAAAAAAGGACTTCAGAGCGAATAGTATCAGAAAGCCAGCTTCAAAATGGCACGGGTGAGCTTCATGTGTCAAACTGCCCTAGCTGAAACTCGGCAGAAAGCTGCAATGGACACTTTAAGTGCCCAAGCATTTGTAGCTTGCACCTTTACTTGAAAACAATCCTGCCTGCAGGTCTGGCAGATTCTTCTCTTCCATGAGCGCCTGCTTCTTCGGAGGGCTCAACGACTGGAAGGTGTCCAACCAACCTTTCAAAGGCTCGAGGCTTAAGCTCAAGGAGTGCACATCCAAGTTGGTGATATCGATGCTGCTGGCGACTTTGTTGCAGCAGTCCTTGATCTGCCGCCAGAACTCTTGCTTTGCCTCACGGCAAGTACTTAGTGGAAACGTGTGCAAAACTAGTACTGAGCCTAAGACGGAATGGCTGTGTGAGGTTTCCCGGCCTGAGTAACATCTTTTTGCTGCGCTTCAGTGATGCCAAGACCAACTTCAAACCGCTTGAAATTCGATAACGCACACGCCATGGCGGCCAAATCTGTAGCTGCAGTTGCCTCCAGCACTTCACTCACTGCAGCAGAGGCTTTCCTCAGCGCAGGGCTGAAATCCTGGAATCCAAAGGCTTGACATTCTGTCAGTACTCAAAACTTCCCTGTCTTGAATGATCCTGGCCCTCATTTGGAAGAAGCAGCATCTGACACAGTATACTGACCGCTCTGATGTATAAGATTGTCTGACATACAATCTGATATATGGTCGGGCATAAGCTGCCAAATATTCTGACATACTATCTGACAAATATTCTGGGATATTAGATTTGCACAGACTCAATCACACTCACATAGGCTTGTAATGACAATACCAGTAGTACCGCACAAGGCGGTGGCGGAAGTTTCAAAAATAGGAAACCTATAGGAGAGATTGGTTGTTGTGAATCAGGGATGGCAGAGCGAATCCACTGATGGACCGAAAGGTGCTTGAGGTCTCCTCTCTTTCTCTCTCTTTCTCTGACTATCTACTTACCTACCAACCTATCTTCTATGTCTCTATCTATCTATCTATCGATCTATCTATCTCTCTCTTTCTCTCTTTCTCTCTTTCATCCAATTACCTATCTACCTATCTATCTATCTATCTATTTATCTATCTATCTATCTCTCTCTCTCTCTTTCATCTGTCTGTCTGTCTATCTGTCTATCTGTCTATCTGTCTATCTGTCTATCTGTCTATCTATCTATCTATCTCTCTCTCTTTCATCTGTCTATCTATCTATCTATCTATCTGTCTGTGGTGCAGTGTCATTCAGTGTAATGTAGTGTAGTGTAATGTAGTGTGGTGTAGTGGAGTGTAGCGGAATGTAGTGTAGTGTAGTGTAGTGTAATGTAGTGTAGTGTAATTTAGTTTTGTACATTTTGACTTGGAAATGTGCTTCGCGCCACAACGGCGTGCACTTTTTCGACATCTCAACTTCCAAAAGTGGTCCGAGAATGGTGTGCTTTGTACATTTTGACTTCGACATGTGCTTCGCGCCACGACGGCGTGCAATTTTTCATCTCTCATCTGGCCAGATGGCTCCGCACCCGCCGCTTTAGCGAGCCTGCTTTTCGACCCTCCGGAGCTTCAAAACATTGGGAAAACACAGTGTTTCGCGACTTTCCTACCTTTTCGCGCATCTGCATCTTCTTTCTTCTGACTCTTTCTCTTCTCTGACCTTCTCTCTTCTGTGACTCTTCCCATCTCTACTTTTCATCTGTCCATATTGTCGGAAGTTTGACTTCTAAACTTCCTTCGATAATCTGGATTCATTGGGCACCTTGAGGCCCAGCTTCACAGAGCTGCGACACTCATGGGATTTGGTCCAGGAGAGGAGGAGGGGAGGAAGAGAAAAGAGCACAGCCACATAAAATCTAAAGACCTTGCTTTTGCCACGTGGAAAAAAAAGAATGCATGAAAGCTTAGGCGTGTATGTCCTCTACTTGAATATAACTATTTATGGTTTCAAACAAACCAATTCTGATATGAGGGATGTTGGGGAAACAGTGGATCTTTGAGGACATACCCACCTCAAAACGGCAGCCAGGTTCTGTTCTACCTGTGGCTTCGCCTTGTGGTATGCCTGGTTCACCTCCCTGGAAAGTCCCACCAACTCATCCGGAGCATTCTCGCCCACCGCCTCCCGAAATCGGTCCAAGAAGGTCAACCGTTCATGAACTTCAGCAAAGTCAGTGGACGGCCGAAAATTCTTCCGCACCTGTTCGTTGATCATCTCCAGTAATTCTACCTGACGACTGGAAAGTTCAAACAGAAGACTAAGCCAAAAAGGCGGTCATGACTCTGCTGGATTTGGTGTAAACAAATCACATGTTCATGAATCTTTTGATCCAAAAACTCGCCTCCTCCTTTTCGCCGTTGCTGGTCACCACCACGCAGATGGCTTCGTAAAATTCACCCTTCTTGATGTCATCCTTGGCCAAGGTACATCTGGAGCGGCCAGCGGAGCCATTCAACTTGGTCTGGAGTTTTTTCAAAGATCGGAAGGACTTCAGCACCTCTAAGTCCAGCAAGTCGTCCACGGCACTCTTCAAGTCCTGGTAAGTTTGCCGCGCTTCACCCCACTGTTTCTTGTCCAGGTGGGCATACATGGACTTGAAGTCTTTGTCGAAAACTTTGTCGAAGCACTTCTGGAACTCTTGTAACAGCTCGGCGTAATCTTCCTGGCTGATGGTTTCTGCCCATCCCCAAGAAAGGCAAAAATCATCAAAAATCACTTGGCGCAGAAGAGCATTCCGCTTGGGGATATAGGGAATAAAACGAAATCAAACCATGGACGAGCTTCGGTCTGATTCTTGAATTCCTCTGGCAAATTCTTCCAAATGCGTTCATGAATCATGATCCATTGCACCAAGTCTGACACATTCATCGCAGCGAAGGCCTGCTTCTTTTTCAGTGCAAACTCCGAGATGGCCTGGATATGTGACATCAGTGGAAACCACACAGGTCACAGGCAGGACTTCTGCCCGCAACGCGAGCCATCCCCTTCACTAAAACATGTAACCCAAATTCTACAAAACATCTCTTGGAACGAAACACGAAACCCGAAACCCGAAGCCCTAGCACTCAGGTGACAAACCACATGAGGCACCTCTCTGGCGGTGTTCTGCCTGGATTTGCTGATCATCACCGCTCGCAGCTGCAGGGCACAACTCGGAGCGTGTCTGCCATCTAAAGCCATCTGCAACTGCACTTCAGATTCCTCAGATTTCCTGGCTCCCAGCTTGGATTTAAAAAAACAAGATGAAGCCCACGAACCCGAATGCTCACACGTATGGTAATGGTACAGATGTCAAAACACATGGTTATGAAGTCACGCACAATACCTTTCTGCAATAGTTTCTTTGAACAGTCTTGTACATGTTTCCCTTGTTACAAGTCTGCAGTGTGGAGTGGAAAGCGTAGAGTGTGGAGTGTGGAGTGTGAAGTAAGGAGTGTGGAGTGTAAAGTGTGGAGTGGGGAGTGTAGAGTGTGTAAAGTGTAGAATGCGGAGTGTAAAGTGTAGAGTGTGGAGTATGGAGTGTGAAGTATAGAGTGTGGAGTGTAGTGTGGAGTGTGGAGTGTGGAGTGTAGAGTGTAGAGTGTGGAGTGAGGAGTGTAAAGTGAGTGTGGAGTGTAAAGTGTAGAGTGTAAAGTGTGGAGTGTGGAGTGTACAGTAAAGTGTGGAGTGTGGAGTGCGGAGTGTGGAGTGGAAAGTGTAGAGTGTGGAGTGTGAGTGTAAAGTGTGAGGAGTGTAAAGTGTGGAGTGGGAGTTGTAGAGTGTGTAAAGTGTGTAAAGTGTGTAAAGTGTGTAAAGTGTGTAAAGTGTAGAATGCGGAGTGTAAAGTGTAGAGTGTGGAGTATGGAGTGTAAAGTGTAGCGTGTGGAGTGTGAAGTGTAAAGTGAGGAGTGCAAAGTGTGGAGTGTGGAGTGAGGAGTGTAAAGTATAAAGTGTGGAGTGTGGAGTGCACAGTAAAGTGTGGAGTGTGGAGTTCAGAGTGTGGAGTGGAAAGTGTAGAGTGTGGAGTGTGGAGTGTAAATTGGGGAGTGTGGAGTGTAGAGTGTGGAGTGTGGAGTGTAAAGTGTGGAGTGAGGAGTGTAAAGTGTGGAGTGCGAAATGTGGAGTGGAAAGTGTAGAGTGTGGTGTGTAGAGTGGAGTGTGGAGTGTAAAATGTAAAGTGTGGAGTGTAGAGTGTAAAGTGTAGAGTGTGGAGTGTAGAGTGTAAAGTGTGGAGTGTAAAGTGTAGAGTGTGGAGTGTAGAGTGTAAAGTGACGATTGTAAAGTGTGGAGTGAGGAGTGTAAAGTGTGGAGTGTGGAGTGTGAAGTGTGGAGTGTGGAGTGTGGAGTGGAAAGTGTGGAGTGTGAAGTGCGGAGTGTAAAGTAAGGAGTGTGTAGTGTAAAGTGTGGAGTGTGGAGTGTAAAGTGTAGAGTGTGGAGTGTGGAGTGTAAAGTGTAGAGTGAGGAGTGAGGAGTGGAAAGTGTAGAGTGTAGTGTAAAGTGTGGAGTGTGGAGTGTAAAGTCTCAGGTGAGGAGTGAGGAGTGTAAAGTGCAAAGTGTAAAGCGTGGAGTGTAAAGTGTAGAGTGTGGAGTCTAAAGTGTGAATTGTGGAGTGTGGAGCGTAAAGTGTAGAGTGTGGAGAGCGGAGCTTCCCCCATAGACACGGCGACGCCACAGGAAAACCAGAGACTCGAGACGAGACACGTGGGTGCAAAAAAACGAGCATTTTGTGCGAGACTTCCTCCAATTTTGATATTTTCCACACGTTATCAAACAGGTTGGAATGTCACAAAGTGCCACGCCTGCCACGCAAAACGACATGACAACCTGCTTGGACACATTCGAATAGGAGATGTTTTCCAGCTTCCCCCATAGACACGGCGACGCCACAGGAAAACCAGCGACTCGAGACAAGACACGTGGATGCAGAAAAACCAGCATTTCGTACGAGACTTCCTCCAATTTTGAGATTTTCGACACATTATCAAACAGGTTGGAATGTCACAAAGTGCCACGCCTGCCACGCAAAACGACATGACAACCTGCGTGGAAACATTCGAAAAGGAGAGGTTTTGCGGCTTCCCCCATAGACACGGCGAAACCACAGGAAAACCAGAGGCTCGAGACGAGACACGTGGGAGCACCACAACGAGCATTTCGTGCGAGGCGTCCTCCAATTTTCACACTTTGAAACATGCCGAAGAGACATCCCCCATAGACACGCCGAAACCACCATAAAACCAATGACGCGAGACGAGACAGGTGGAAGCACCAAAACGAGCATTTCATGCGAGACTTCCTCCAATTTTCACACTTTGTAGCTTCAAAATCGACGTTTTCCTACGAGTTTTCTTAGAACATGAAAATTTTGCAACCTCAAAATCGATGTTTCGTGCGAGGCTTCCGTCAATTTTCAGCACATCGCACAAAATGCCACGACTGCCATGGAATTTGCACCTTGTCGCCACTTGACGCAGCCCTGCCAATGCGATTTACAAAAAACACGCAACACGACACGTCTAAAGTGCTGCGCCTGCCACGAAAAATGACGATGGACACATCGAAAGTGCTGCGCCTGCCACGAAATCTGCCACGCATCTTCGCAAAACGTCGCAAAAGTATTGCGCCTGCCACACAAAACGATTTTCGACACGTTGCAGAACGTTGCTGAATGTCACGAAGTGCCACGCCTGCCACGCGAAACAAAGCAACCAGACGTCTGAAACCTCCAAAAATGATCCCTCCTGCAGAACTTCCCATAGGCACGGCCATACGGTCCTCACACGAACGGTTGCGGACGGTTGCGGACGGTTGCGGACGGTTGCGACCACAAACGCAACGTCGAGCGAACACACCCTCAACCCCCAGACCCCCAGAGTGAAACGGGAACCCTTGCTACGCATTTGGGAAAAACTGGGTGCCTCTGGAATTTCTAACCCTCCTGTGGCATTTGGAAAATCTTGTTTTTCCTTGACTTTGCACCAATCAGCAACCTCCCCCGTCCTCGCTAGTTTCTGCTCAAGCTCATCTCTTTGGCTTTTAGCCTCAGAAAGGGCTGTGACCCCACCCCCGACACACTGAACCCATGAGCTTCAAAAAGCCTTTGGTTGATGCATGATTGCTGACTCGTAGTTGGCAAGTTCAGTCATTAAGCGGGGCTAAAAGCCAAATACAGATACAAGCGCTCAGTTGCTTGTGCCAAGTAGACTGCCTATAGTGACCAGAACCAAGAACAAATTTACTGCAAGTGGAGTGAATCCCAAAAGTCAAGCGTGATGAATGAAATCTTTGGAACGCAAGTCAAACAGCTTCTGTGAAACGCCCTCCGCCCAGTCTTTGGGGAAATCCATGTCTACTCCTGCTTAGTTGTTCATGATCATAATGCCACCAACAAGCATATGCTGCCATTTCAGCATCTTCCATACCATCCACCTCCTGAAGCTCACAGCACCAAACCATACAGCAGCTGTGACTTGGTGCATACTGTGCCTCTAAGGTTACAACTTTGGATACAAGAGGGGCAGCAACTTTGGCCGCTGCACATTAAACACTGAGCAATCTACTTTCGGACGTCAATCATCTTGAACCAATTCCGTACACCCGACCTGAATGAGCCTGCGGGCATCCTTCACTGCTGAAATCAATGTTTCAACCTATGGCACGGGAGGATGGAGATTCTCCAGCTGTGGCCCAAATGCGCAAGAAGTATTGTGTGAAAAGAACAATCGCGGAAGAAACGCAGAACTGCAGCATACTGCTGCAGTGTGGTCAACATTGCCAGCGCCTCGGTGTCGTCATCAATGCTCTTGCTGGCAGAGCCCATGGCTTCAAGCAAATACTCCTTTAGCCGGTCGCCATGTCGCTGCCTGGAATGCACCTGATCAGTGAGTCATCGCATGTGTTACCCTGACTTCAAGATGGAAGATGTTTTGCATGTTCACTGCATGACCTGAGGAACACAAGCATTGGCCGAAACAACAACACCTCTTGTGATGTCACATCGGCCTTGCGAAGGAGTTGGGCCGCTTGCGCAAACCGACCTTCTGACAAAGCCTTCTCAAATCGAGACTCATCATCTTCCAAGGCCAAATTCAGCGGCTCGCGGCTCTCCGTCAAACTCTTCACACACTTCGCGACCCTCGGATCCTCACTCTGCAACTGCTGCAAAGCCGAGATCAAAGTCGTTAGCTTTTGCCAGGTCACAAGCTTCAAGTTCTGGTGAGTGGAGGCAGCTTCTTGATGACAAATCTCACACTGCGCTTCCACTAAAGGTCGAAACTGTGCCTGGAAGCCCAGCTGTTCACAGAGTTCACTCTGTTCGAAAGCCAATCCTTCTTTGACGCAGCTCTGCACGAAGCGAATCCAAGAAGCCGGATTCTCCAGAAAGTCTCCTGAACAATGCCGAAGACTCCCTTCACGCCTTTCTTCTCCAAATCCCAAGTTCGAATACTTTCTGGTAATTTGTTTTGCTGTTTGGGGTTCTCAACTCACGGGTTAGCCCGTTCTCCTATTAAGGGTGATAAATTAAAAAACAAACGTCACATCATCCAAGAAAATTCTCATCTTTTACTATGTCCCTGTTGTTAAAGGTTCCAGCAAACCCTCCCAAACTCAGCTGGGGTAAACCACGGCTCTCCTGTCTCCAATGCCTCCGTGGCTTGCTTGAAGCACTCGTCCCTCCACATTTTCACCTTTTGAAACAAGGCCGCAAAGGCGGACCTCACATGGCCCTGGCAGCGGTCAGGATGCAGCCATCCCTGTCCCATGCCAGAACCACCCAACGATTTCAACGGAGCGTGCCTGCCAAGAATATGGACCTAACTAATCCGAAAGAAACTAATCCAAAATTGTGATCCAACCACCAACCAGTGGGCTCTGTCACCATCTGTAAAATCATCTCCTATGACCTCCTCAAATACGAAAAAATATAGAACCTGAGAAGGGAGGAACGAAAGCCAGGGGAGTGCGAAGGTGGGTGCGAAGAAGAAGGAGAGGAAGAGGGAGGATGCGGGAAACAGAGTAGATCGAGGAGAGGTGGTGCCAGGAACGCATTGTTTTACTCCACTTCTTCATCATAGTCCCTCGATTTTTCCATTACTTTTCCATCGCTAATGGTCTCACATCGAAGCCACAGTTTTTCCATTGCTTTTCCATAGTTTTACTCGACATCATTTTCCCCTCCATTCCAGTCTCCCCAGTGTTTTTTTCACAGTTTTTCCTCCAGTTTTACTCAATCGTCCCATAGTTTACGCTATCAGTTTATCCTTCCATTTCATCAATTGTTCCAGTGTTTTGCCATGGTGTTACTCAATTTCTCCGTCATTACCCTTATGTTACCTCAGTGTGTCTAACGCTTACCCAAATGCACCTCCCACAATCCCTACCGTTGCACAATATAAACGGTTTTGCTCGTTTCTTCCATGGCTTTATTTCCGTGCCTCTACTCCATAGTGCTCACACATCCAAACCGCAATTTTTCCATTGTTTTTCCATTGTTTCACGCGTGCTTTACGCGATAATGGTCCCACATCAGAGCCTCAATTTTTCCATTGTGCTTCCATCCCATCAATTTCCGTCATTTTACTTTTGTTTTACTTGGCATCATTTTGGTCCCACATCAGAGCCGCATTTTTTCCATTGTTTTTCCATTGTTTTACTCCACTTCTTCATCATAGTCCCTCGATTTTTCCATTACTTTTCCATCGCTAATGGTCTCACATCGAAGCCACAGTTTTTCCATTGCTTTTCCATAGTTTTACTCGACATCATTTTCCCCTCCATTCCAGTCTCCCCAGTGTTTTTTTCACAGTTTTTCCTCCAGTTTTACTCAATCGTCCCATAGTTTACGCTATCAGTTTATCCTTCCATTTCATCAATTGTTCCAGTGTTTTGCCATGGTGTTACTCAATTTCTCCGTCATTACCCTTATGTTACCTCAGTGTGTCTAACGCTTACCCAAATGCACCTCCCACAATCCCTACCGTTGCACAATATAAACGGTTTTGCTCGTTTCTTCCATGGCTTTATTTCCGTGCCTCTACTCCATAGTGCTCACACATCCAAACCGCAATTTTTCCATTGTTTTTCCATTGTTTCACGCGTGCTTTACGCGATAATGGTCCCACATCAGAGCCTCAATTTTTCCATTGTGCTTCCATCCCATCAATTTCCGTCATTTTACTTTTGTTTTACTTGGCATCATTTTGGTCCCACATCAGAGCCGCATTTTTTCCATTGTTTTTCCATTGTTTTACTCCACTTCTTCATCATAGTCCCTCGATTTTTCCATTGCTTTTCCATCGCTAATGGTCTCACATCGAAGCCACCGTTTTTTCCATTGCTTTTCCATAGTATTACTCGACATCATTTTCCCCTCCATTCCAGTCTCCCCAGTGTTTTTTTCACAGTTTTTCCTCCAGTTTTACTCAATCGTCCCATAGTTTACGCTATCAATTTATCCTTCCATTTCATCAATTGTTCCAGTGTTTTGCCATGGTGTTACTCAATTTCTCCGTCATTACCCTTATGTTACCTCAGTGTGTCTAACGCTTACCCAAAAGCACCTCCCACAATCCCTACCGTTGCACAATATAAACGGTTTTGCTCGTTTCTTCCTTGGTTTTATTTCCGTGTTTCTACTCCATAGTGGTCACACATCGAAACCGCAATTTTTCCATTGCTTTTCCATTGTCTCACGCGTGCTTTACGCGATAATGGTCCCACATCGGAGCCTCAATTTTTCCATTGTTTTTCCATCCCATCAATTTGTCCATCCTTTTACTTTTATTTTACTTGGCATCATTTTCGAAGTGTTCTACTCAAATGTTCCATTGTTTTCCCATTGTTTTACGTGATATTCCCTCATTTTTTCCATTGTTTTTCTCATCATTTTCCCGTCCATTGCAGTCTCCCCAAGTCCAGATCGGAGGACGGACCTGGGGGGAATCGATACCCCACCGTCACCCAATTAATTGCCACCTGGTACATAACCCTGAAAAAGTTCACCTGCGTCCGCCTTTTTTACCACCTAATTTCGGCCCCCAAACCCCCTAAACTCACTTTGTTCGCAAAAAAAACTTCGCCTAGCCTAGCGGCTGGCTTTCGTGAAAATGTATCAATCATACCCTGCACCCTTTTTTTCAAAGGTGCGAAACCCTCGATCAATAACCAGCCAGCCACAACATTTTGGGCAAACGATTTGAAGCTGATCTTTGAAACCCCATGGAAATTCACGACCAGCTGCTCGCTGCCTGGTCATTGTCCAGACTCTGGAGTCGATTTGCCATCTTCAAATGCCGGGTGAACAATTCGCGCCATCCGCTGACGCTGGTGTCCGCCTGCGCCCATTCCTCCATTTCCTTCTTGACCACGTCATCAACGAAACCATTTGCAGCCTTGACTAGTGACGACAACTTCTCTGCCAAAGTGCTACATGCATGGTCCTGCAAGCTTTGCAAAGTCTTTGCAAGGGTCTCTGCCAAAGACGCCAAGGATTTCAACTGTCCCATCGCGCGGATAACTTCGGCACCCAAGGAATGAGTCGGAATAAAGGCCTTGTCGCGAGCCCGCCGAGTGGTTCGTTTCAAAGCATCGGACAAGTTCTTGTTCAGATTCCAAGCAATGCACTGCAACGCCACAGTCACCGTCTCTGTCTGGACCTTCAGATTTGGCCTCATCACTTTCAGAAGCGTGTCCACTGGGAGCAACAGCTCGAGCTCGTTGATGGCAGTTTCTGCTTCTTCAACCACATCCCTGTCCGAATCTGTGTCTTGGATCTCTTCCGGGATCTCATTCAAGGAGAGAGCGGCCCAAGATCTCTCACATACCTCCGGAAGACACTTTTGGGCCAAGAGCTTCTTGATAGCATCTGTCACGCCATCTTTGCTTTTGCAAATCCGCTTGCTGGCTGCAGCGCTGAAGCCATCCAGTTTCAACTCAACTGAACTCAACAAGCGTGGTCCATGCTCGCCAGCAGCCGCCATTCGCTCATTGATACTGAGAAGTTGAGAATGCCATTCATCGGTCAGCGATGTTTCCATGGTCTTCACCAAACTGTCAATGTCACCTGGCTGCTCAACATTTTGGCCATGTTCCCATGTTCCGCTCACTCCATAATCCAGAATGCTGGACTTTAACGAACATTTGGAACTTTGGAACCGCTATCAGTTTCCATCCCCCACCTTGACTTGGTGCCAAGTTGGCGGACATTGGTTTCAAGACATACTCATCCTCAAGGTCTTTTCCCAGGATCCCATTAAGCTCTGTGGATCGACATAGCTGCATGAGCTGCTCGGAAGCTGCCGAGCTTCCGGATTGCAACACGGTCTCCACCATCTTCCCCGACAAGTTGGCCAAAGAAGCCCGGACAGCATCTTTCGCTGCCTCCTCTGCGACACTCAGACCGTCACCTTCAAGAATTTGGCATCCATAAGGGCCAAGGATGGGCATCAGTGTCCTGGGCAAAAACTCGCGGTGCTCTTCCAAACACTTCAGGGCATGGATGACGCTGGCAGCGTTCTTGCACTCACCTGCACTTTTTTGCAAACCTTTCACCTGAGGAACAACGCTCGGGTGACCAAGCGCAGCGCCCAGTTCACTGAGTTGATAGATAGATGTTGAGGGCAGGTGAGAAACTAACGGTCTACAAACTAAATATATCGATCTAAATTGCGAATGTCCCTGCAGTTGCCTTCAACCAAACTGACAACACGAGGCAACAGTCTCAGTGTATGACGTGGTCAGATAGAGCAGACGCCCACGACTTCAAGACTTCACCCCCCAAGGGCTCAAGTTGTTGCACAGCAGATAGGATACCTTTCACCTGCAGAAGAAACCAGACACCCAGGACATCCCTACAGCGACGTAACTTAACCTTACTAAGCACATCCTGTCGCTGTTGTCTTGCCTGCCGTTTGTATGTTCACTTTCGCTACCGAACACTGTCAGATCAGTATCACCATGTCTGGCCTGCAAAGCCAAATTGAAATCCCATCGAGCATCTGTACAACCTCCTGGCAGATGTCGGTCCAAACCTTGGCAGAACTTGCCAGGCAGAACAGAGAAGCATGGATTCACACCTCATGTCCCTCTAATATTTCCAATATTGGATCTCCCACACTTTCACCCATAATATTCCGAAAGAAAAAGTAAGGCACCTTGACTCACTCTGAATGACAAGCGTTTTTGATGGCCTGCTGTCTAGGCCTACAAGTAACTGAATATATAAGTGGCTGATTGAATGAATGAACAAAAATTGAATGAATGGGTGAACGACTGGGTGCATGACACACATGAATGAAAATGAATGACTGAGCGACTTTCTAAATGCATTATGAGGACTGGCTGGCTGACTGCACCAATGAATCGAATGAATGAACTTGAAAACGAACAATGGCTAACTGCACCAATGAATCGACTGAATGAACTTGAAAACGAACAAAGGAGCGAATGAACAAATAAAGAATAAATAGTGAATCAAGGAAGGGAGGAATGAAGGAAGACATGGCCGAAGAAATGAAGGAAGGAAGAAGGCAGGAAAGAAGGAACGATTGAACGCGCAGCCATGCTTGCCATGCATCCAACCACCTTTTACGGGGCTCTGTCAAATGTTCACAACAACGGGGCACAGGCAGCAGCGTCACGGTCACCACAATGCATGCAGCACCATTTCCAGAAGCGCAAAGCACAGGGAGCAGTGCTATGGTGCAATTGTGGCCCAGCTGCAGGCATTCCAATTTGCTTAGCAGTTCTGCATTGAATTTCACAAAATCAAAGGGCACGCTTACAACCCATTTAGCAACCAGCAGTCTACAGCAACGGTCTTTCGATTTTCTTTCTTGGGGAACTGCAACAAATCGAAAGAAAAACCCTTCACGTAGTCGCGCCAGTGTGGACTTTTTCGGAGATACCTGTTCGGCCGATGGGCCGAGAAGCGAATTTGAAAGGAAAAAACGCGCACACTGGGGGGACAAAGCTGAGAATGAATTGTGTACTAGCGCCTTTTTCGATCCTCTCTTTCAAAAGTGCTCCGAGAATAACATGCTTTGCATTTTTCCCAAGCGAGCTCTCAAAAAAAAGTCATGTGCATGTTTTACCACAGGCTTCTGCGTGATTGGACCACATCCTATAATGAGTCAGTGGTTGACTTAGTGGTTGAATGCTTGGGTGATGTCATCTAAACTACCTCCAGTATCTACACCTCGTCGATTGTCAGGTGGCCCGAAAAAAACCTGCTGCAACCTTAAGTGTCCGAGGCGGTGACTCTCTTTGGCCACCACAATGCCGCGGGTCATCACAGCAGAAGACTTCATCCAGCCGGGGATGTGGACGCCGGCGCACAACTGCCGAAAAGTGTCCATCTTTACCATGGCAGGCCACACGCCTGCAAAAGGTTGGAGGCACCAGTCGCAAGCCATGGGGATGTAAATCGAAGAAAAATTGAAACCCGTATGAAATTTCTCAAGAACTGCATGCTTTCAGCAACGGATGGGTTGCGGCAGCCGCTTACAAACAACCCAACCCAACACACATGCATTTCTTAAGCACCACCCTGCCCTGAGCTACCCCAGCCTTCAATCTTTTCAGGATTGCCAGATCTGACCCCTTCCAACACCATGGTATTGACGCGCTCATTCTCACGGACCAGTTGGGCAACCAGGTCAGTTCTGTAGCTCGCTGCAGTCGGCATCAGCTCAGTCTCCTGGCGCTACCGGCAGATTTCCATGTCGACATCCCTTGCATTCGGGGCGTGCAAGACATTAAAGCAAAATCTCGGAAAACGAAGGGGCCATAGCCCACAAACCCAACTCCGAACTCCTCCAAAGTTTGGGTGAGGCTCAACAAATCCATGATCTTCGAGACCAGCACCTCATCAGATGCCCAACTCACCCCACGCTCTCCAATGGAATGCTTGCAGTCGAGGAAGAACTTGCTGAGAGTTTGCTCTAGATCCTTCTTGGCATCGCTCAGCAGGACGTACTTCAGTGCTTCACCTGAACTGCATGCAAATGTCTCTAAGCAAATCCCAATCGGGCTGTTCAGCCTTGAAAGCATTGGAACCAAATTAGAACACCCCACAGATAGTCTTGACATCCAAGCTTTTGAGTGGGAGACAAAAGCACAAGCAAACAAGAGATCTCCGCAACCCGCAGGACATCACACCTGGATTCTGTACGGCTGGCAAGTTGTGAAGCCACTTCTGAAGGGACAGCCGCTGCTGGCTTCTGCTCACGTTTACAGGGAAGATGGTAACTCTCTCAGCGCAAACTTGCTCCAAAAATGAGTCATCTTCCCATTCCTTGAACTCTTCGGCAATCTTGTTGGCTTTGTCACCTCATCGCAAGTATGCTCGGATCAACGAAAAGTTGGGGAAACATCAAGCGAAACCAGCTTGATCCAGCTTGATTGCATGATGTTCTAAGCATCAGCGCGATGCAGTCCCTGCACCATTTCAATCATGCGAAACCGTTTCGAACCCACTAGAAACGTAAAGGCAAAGGTCCAAGTCACAGCTCGCAGCGAAATGCTCTAGCAAGCGTTTTCCTGCCACATTTGTCTTCATGTGCGAGGGTGCCTCTGCTGCACCTGAAAAGTACCCGCGCTGCAAATCCAAATGGCACAGCAATGGTCATGGAAGCACCACCTATGTGTTTGAAAGATATGTTCTTCCTGAGTGACGACTTCTGGGATCCCGGTTTTTAAGGGGTACCTCTCCGAAGGGCAACCAGGGAACCCAAATCCACGTACTCATCTTCCGCCAGAGCGGTCTCCAACAACTCGTTGAAGTTGTCGTACATCGATTTGGAAACTTCGCTTGCCACCCCTGGAACCGACAGGCCACGTGGCTCGCTGGTCACAATCAAACCCACGGATCCAAGATTTTCAAGGCGGCAGAACATGGAAGCAACGTGTTCCACGTCCTTCGGGGTTTCCATAGATTTTGCCTCTGCAAGCATGACCTTCTTGGCGGTCAATGTCAAACATGTGTTAGTTATTTTACCATGCAAAGGTAATGGTATAAGAGTGTATATACCAGTAGTACCGCACAAGGCGGTGGCGGAAGTTTAAAAATAGGAAACCTATAGGAGAGCTTGGTTGTTGTGAATCAGGGATGGCAGAGCGAAGCCACTGATGGAGCGAAAGGTGATTGATCTCTCTCACTATTCTCTCTCTTTCTCTGACTATCTACCTACCTATCTATCTATCTTCTATGCATCTATCTATCTATCGATCTATCTCTCTCTCTCTCTTTCATCTGTCTATCTGTCACTAGCTGTCTACCTGTCTATCTATCTATCTATCTATCGATCTATCTATCTATCTATCTATCTATCTATCTAATCTATCTAATCTATCTAATCTATCTAATCTATCTAATCTATCTAATCTATCTAATCTATCTAATCTATCTAATCTATCTAATCTATCTAATCTATCTATCTAATCTATCTAATCTATCTAATCTATCTAATCTATCTAATCTATCTAATCTATCTAATCTATCTAATCTATCTAATCTATCTAATCTATCTAATCTATCTAATCTATCTAATCTATCTAATCTATCTAATCTATCTATCTATCTATCTATCTATCTATCTCTCTATCTCTCTCTCTCTCTTTCATCTGTCTATCTGTCTAGCTGTCTACCTGTCTATCTGTCTATCTATCTATCTATCTATCTGTCTGTCTGTCTGTCTGTCTACCTGTCTATCTGTGGTGCAGTGTCATTTAGTGTAATGTAGTGTAGTGTAATGTAGTGTAGTGGAGTGTAGTGGAATGTAGTGTAGTGGAGTGCAGTGTAGTGTAATGTAGTATAGTGTAGTGTAATCTAGTGTAGTGGAGTGTAGTGTCATGTAGTGAAGTGTAGTGGAAGGTAGTGTAGTGTAGTGTAATGTAGTGTAGTGTAGTGGAGTGCAGTGTAGTGTAATGTAGTATAGTGTAGTGTAATTTAGTGTAGTGGAGTGTAGTGGAGTGTAGTTGTGTAGTTGTAGTTATAGTTGTAGTTGTAGTGTAGTGTAGTGGATTGTGGTGTAATGTAGTGAAGTGTAGTGGAAGGTAGTGTAGCGTAGTGTAATGTAGTGTAGCGTAGTGGAGTGTCGTGTAGTGTAATGTAGTGTAGTGTAGCGTAATTTAGTGTAGTGGAGTGTAGTGGAGTGTAGTGGAGTGTAGTGGAGTGTAGTTGTAGTTGTAGTGTTGTGGAGTATAGTGTAGTGTAATGTAGTGTAGTGGAGTGTAGTGGAGTGTAGTGTAGTCTAATGTAGTGTAGTGTAGTGAAGCGAAGCGAAGCGAAGCGACATCTGAACCTCCAAAAGTGGTCCGAACCCCTGGTGTTTTTAACATTTTGACTTCATAATGCGCTTCGCGCCACAACGGCGTGCACTTTTTCGACATCTGAACCTCCAAAAGTGGTCCGAACTCCCAGTGTTTTGAACATTTTTACTTCGAAATGTCCTTCGCGCCACAACGGCGTGCACTTTTTCAACATCTCAACTTCCAAAAGTGGTCCGAGAATGGTGTGTTTTGTACATTTTGACTTCGAAATGTGCTTCGCGCCACAACGGCGTGCACTTTTTCGACATCTGAACCTCCAAAAGTGGTCCGAACCCCCAGTGTTTTGAACATTTTTATTTCGAAATGTCCTTCGCGCCACAACGGCGTGCACTTTTTCAACATCTCAACTTCCAAAAGTGGTCCGAGAATGGTGTGTTTTGTACATTTTGACTTCGAAATGTGCTTCGCGCCACAATGGCGTGCACTTTTTCAACATCTCAACTTCCAAAACTGCTCCGAACCCCTCAGTTTTTAACACATTTTACTTCCAAACGTGCTTCGCGCCACAACGGCGTGCACTTTTCAACATCTCAACTTCCAAAAGTGGTCTGAACCCCTAGTGCTTTGTACATTTTGACTTGGAAATGTGCTTCGCGCCACAACGGCGTGCACTTTTTCGACATTGCAACTTCCAAAAGTGGTCCGGTGCTGAGGTGTTTTGTACATTTTGACTTCGAAATGTGCTTCGCGCCACAACGGCGTGCAATTTTTCATCACTCATCTGGCCAGCTGGCTCCGCACCCGCCGCTTTAGCGAGCCTACTTTTCGACCCTCCGGAGCCACAAATAATTGGAAAAACACAGTGTTTCGCGACTTTCCTACCTTTTCGCGCATCTGCATCTTCTTTCTTCTTACTCTTTCTCTTCTACTTTCTTCTAATCTTCCTCTTCTCTCTGCCTCTTCCCTGCTCTGCTTTTCATCTGTCCATATTGTCGGAAGTTTGACTTCTAAACTTCCTTCGATTATAAAACACATTAAAACACGACAAAGCGCCAAAACGAAGAATATTGCAGGACCCTTGTCCTTCAGAAGGACTCGGCCGCGCTCGTTGCCCACATCACCACGAGCTTCTTTGATCACCAAGACCACACGCACGGATCGGGCGGATTGCACAGCCAGACTGCGGTTAATAGCGCCACAGACCTGCAGATGGATGCTGAAAAAAACTTGGGAGGGCGATCATTGACAAGCCTGTGCTCATGTTTGATTTTTTGTTGGATCCAGGCCACAAAAGCACTCAGGCTGAGCCGGCACTTGTGGCTTTTGCATGCTTTTGCAACAAGTCAAAAAGGAACATACTCCGGCATTAGCAACTGGCACTAGCCTCAGCAATGGGGCCTTCTGTGGCGCCCGTGCCAGCATTGTCCACCAGCTGCAACCCGTTGGTGTTTGGCACCTGAGCTTGCACAAGTCCAGAAAATGAAAACACACACACAACACAACGCAACAAAGACGGCTTAGCACACATCATCTGGAAGCCCTGGAAGGCATTGCACTGAATGGAAGCCCGACCCTCAAAAGGAACCTGGAACCACTGGAACCCAACCGTGGAAGGTTGGAAGATGTTGGAAGCACGTTGCAAAGTTGCCCACAAGAATTGGGGACAAACTTGAGCCCTACGGAGGAAACATACATTGATGGGCTGTGAAACGGTGTTTGAAACCGTGTCGAAGTGTTGCCACAAAGCACCCGAAAGGCTCTATGTACTGAAGATCCAACGCACAAATGTAAGGAATGAATCAAAATTTGGGGCTGTCTCCTTCATAGGCAGAAACCTCTCTGGATTCTGATCAGTCTCAAGAAGAAGAATTGGCTTGACATTTCAAACAGATCTTGCGCCAAGACACCTCAGCAGACATCAAGCCCTTTGTTACATCTGCACACTGGGCACTTGTCACGAAACCCTCCATGGGGTTGTCCGCTTCCAGCTTTTGTGTGCGACGATTGTAGCGGAAGTCAGTGCCCAGGGCATAGGATGTCACAGTAGTCTTGCCACTGCCGCAGCATCCGATCAACAACCTCACAGGATATATACTGTGTACAGGACAACGTCACAAGACAGCCACAACTCTGGACTTACAACCTCCATCCAAAACCTTCACTAATACGGCCAGCAGTCAAGCTACACAATGTCCTTGTTCGCGAAACCCGCACACTTCGCCGTGGCTGTTTCAAACTCCTGACAAATCGCCTTCGAAAGGCGCCTGGGGTCCATCATCTTTCAGGAAAGCGATGGCACAGAGCGAGGGCACAAAGCGAGGGGAAGTCGTAGTAAATCCACTTGAGCTTTAAATCTCCAAGATGTTTGAAATGATTTGATCTGCAGTCGATGTTTCTGTGACACAACTTCAAACAGAACTCAACGGCTTTGGCTTACACCCTTTGCGAAGCAACTGGTCTTCCCAAGTTGCATGCGTTTGCACGACACAAATGAAAACACCTTAAAGTGATTGAGCGTTTCTGATGCACTGGTTTCCGGCTTTCGCTGTGGAACCCTTGGCGAACACAACCTTTTCATAAACTCATCACTGAATCACTGTTTGGCGAGCAGCCCCAAGACTTTTTTGGCGAGATTTCCAGAAGCAGGTTTTGGATCCTCAGCATTTCCAGACGCTGAACATACATTTGTAGTTGAATCATCTCAAATCCCATTGGAATCCCAGAATGCTTGGTCTTAGGTCCCAAGGGCCCTGGATTTGCTCACAAAAGACCTGGGGATGTTGGTCAAACCTCCCAGCTTCAGCATTCAAATGGAAACTGCGGGTGCTCAATGCTGGAATTCTGCATCTCAATGTTTCCAAGGTCCGAACATCCATACCCTCGCACTGCAACTTGATTTGCCAGCGCCTCCATCGCAAAAAACAGCATGATCACTCCCACGCCCTGCTTCAAAGTGAAGCGAGAAAAAACGGGGGTTTGGAATCGACGACAGCAAGTCATCAGTGAAGAACACTGCCAAGTTTGCTTGCAAATGACTTCACCGCATCCAAACAACTGAGCAGCTTTATTGAATGTGCCTGGTTTCTCCTCGCCATTTTTGTGTGTCTAGATGAAGTCATCTCCGTTTTAAAGGCGGCTATATTCAATATACCTAGGTTCTCATCTCCGTTTTTGTGTGTCTATATAGTCTCAGAGGGCAGGTATATTGAATATACCTAGGTTCTCATCTCCGTTTTTGTGTGTCTAAATAGTCTCAGAGGGCAGGTATATTGAATATACCTAGGTTCTCATCTCCGTTTTTGTGTGTCTATATAGTCTCAGAGGGCAGGTATATTGAATATACCTAGGTTCTCATCTCCGTTTTTGTGTGTCTAAATAGTCTCAGAGGCCAGGTATATTCAATATACCTAGGTTCTCATCTCCGTTTTTGTGTGTCTAAATAGTCTCAGAGGCCAGGTATGTTGAATATACCTAGGTTCTCATCTCCGTTTTTGTGTGTCTAAATAGTCTCAGAGGCCAGGTATACTGAATATACCTAGGTTCTCAGCTCCGTTTTTGTGTGTCTAAATAGTCTCAGAGGCCAGGTATATTGAATATACCTATGTTCTCATCTCCGTTTTTGTGTGTCTAAATAGTCTCAGAGGGCAGGTATATTGAATATACCTAGGTTCTCATCTCCGCTTTTGTGTGTCTATATAGTCTCAGAGGGCAGGTATATTCAATATACCTAGGTTCTCATCTCCGTTTTTGTGTGTCTATATAGTCTCAGAGGGCAGGTATATTGAATATACCTAGGTTCTCATCTCCGTTTTTGTGTGTCTAAATAGTCTCAGAGGCCAGGTATATTGAATATACCTATGTTCTCATCTCCGTTTTTGTGTGTCTACAAAGTCTCAGAGGGCAGGTATATTGAATATACCTAGGTTCTCATCTCCGTTTTTGTGTGTCTATATAGTCTCAGAGGGCAGGTATATTGAATATACCTACGTTCTCATCTCCGTTTTTGTGTGTCTATATAGTCTCAGAGGGCAGGTATATTGAATATACCTAGGTTCTCATCTCCGTTTTTGTGTGCCGATATAGTCTCAGAGGCCAGGTATATTCAATATACCTAGGTTCTCATCTCTGTTTTTGTGTCTAAATAGTCTCTAGGCAATTGGTGACATCCGTCACTTTGGCGTGGCAGTCGTGGCACTTATGGGACTGGACTGGCTCCGGTGGCGCGCTCTGGCCGCAGTGGACGCGCTGGTCGCCACCGCCGTTTGTTGGCGTGGCAGGCGTGGCACTTGGTGACATCGGACTGGCTCCGTGGAGCCGCTGGAGCCGATGAGGCCGATGAGGCCGATGGAGCCGCTTGTGCTTTTGGATATTTGGAGCCCTTTTCAAGTAATTAGCAGGCGTGCCCACTTGCCAATTCCAAGCGGCTTTAATTAGTTTCCCTTGTGCAAAGTTAAATTGGTGCGAAAATGTGCGAAATTCAGATCGAGGCGGCAAAAACTGAATATGATGCTCAAGCACGCTCACACACGCTCACACACGCTCACACCTGATACGCAGCAGCTTTTGTACACAGACTTATTGCACATGCATGTACATGTGCATGAAGATTTGACGCTCCAAGATGTCTGTCCATGGAACTATGAATGCTTACGCGCGTTTGGGTCAGCAATTTCGGCGTAAATGCAAGCATATGCCGATTTACACGCTGGCAAAGAGAAAAAGAAAGAAAGAAAGAAAGAAGGAAGGAAGGAAAGAAAGAAAGAAAAAAAGAAAAAAAGAAAGAGAGAAAGAGAAGGACACAAATAGAACACGAAAGAGTGAGAGGGAAAGAGGTGCAGCGGCATAAAGAATAAATCCAAGGCAATAGATATGTGTATATACTATATTTATCTTCACATGTATACATATTTACATATAAGTATATATATATATACTTATACATATATATATATATACTTACATACATAATGTATATATCTAGGTATCGTGTCTATAGTTCTAGATAATACGGCTGCAATGCCTCCTTTCTGCGACCAAGCTAAACGTGCACACATGGGCAAACGGAAGCCCGGTGAATAGTATGAACCATGCGCGCCGCAATGCAAAGCACGTGCCAGGCAACAGGCAGCCTGGGGTTAGTGGCGGCCACCGGCTCCTCGACAAAGCTCTGTGTACTGCGCCTCCCACCCAAAAGGGAAGTGCGGAGGCTCTGTGTACTGCGCCTGCCAGGCAACAGGCAGCCGCGGAAGCAGGGTGCAATGGGTTAAGGTGTCTCGATAGATGTAGCTGTAACCTGCAATTCCCTTTATACTGGCAATACTGCATAGGATTTTTCTCCGGCGCCAAGCCAAGCGCCACTTTCAGAGCATGGGTGCTTTGCATTGTGGCGCGCATGGTTCATACTATTCACCGGACTTCCGTTTGCCCATGTGTGCACGTTTAGCTTGGTCGCAGAAAGGAGGCATTGCAGCCGTATATCTAGAACTATAGACACGATACCTAGATATATACATTATGTATGTAAGTATATATATATATATGTATATATATATGTATATATATATACATATGTAAATATGTATACACATGAAGATAAATATAGTATATACACATATCTAGTGCCTTGGATTTATCCTTTATGCCACTGCCCCTCTTTCCCTCTCACTCTTTCGTGTTCTATTTGTGTCCTTCTCTTTCTCTCTTTCTTTCTTTCTTTCTTTCTTTCTTTCTTTTTTCTTTTTTTCTTTGTCAGCGTGTAAATCGGCATATGCTTGCATTTACGCCGAAATTGCTGACCCAAACACGCATAAGCATTCATAGTTCCATGGACAAACATCTTGGAGCGTCAAATCTTCAGGCACATGTACATGCATGTGCAATAAGTCTGTGTACAAAAGCTGCTGCGTATCAGGTGTGAGCGTGTGTGAGCGTGCTTGAGCATCATATTCAGTTTTTGCCGCCTCGATCTGAATTTCGCACATTTTCGCACCAATTTAACTTTGCACAAGGGAAACTAATTAAAGCCGCTTGGAATTGGCAAGTGGGCACGCCTGCTAATTACTTGAAAAGGGCTCCAAATATCCAAAAGCACAAGCGGCTCCATCGGCCTCATCGGCCTCATCGGCCTCATCGGCTCCAGCGGCTCCATCGGCCTCATCGGCCTCCAGCGGCTCCAGCGGCTCCATCGGCTCCAGCGGCTCCATCGGCCTCATCGGCTCCATCGGCCTCATCGGCTCCAGCGGCTCCATCGGCCTCATCGGCTCGAGCGGCTTCAGCGGCTCCAGCGGCTCCATCGGCTCCAGCGGCTCCATCGGCCTCATCGGCTCGAGCGGCCTCATCGGCCTCCAGCAGCTCCATCGGCCTCATCGGCTCCAGCGGCTCCATCGGCATGTCTTTCTGGAAAGCCTATTATATGCCCTGAAGCTGGCGGAATCAGTTGCGTCCATTTTGCGCCTATGGTTTGCTTCGCTGCCTTTTCATTAGTATTGATCCATAGCCTCTTGTCTTGCGATATTGCCTCCAAGTGTCGAACGTGCAACCCCCCCCAAAACCCCCCCAAAACCCCCCAAAACCTCCCCAAAACCCACCCGAAAACACCCCCAACCCCCCCCCACATCACACTTCAAACACATCAAACAGCGGGATCAACATTGAGTATGCAAGACATGATGAAATGACGTTATCTGACGCAATTACACCGGCATAGACCCCAGATAGAAAAGATTTCAGAAACGTTTTTTCATGCCGCGTCAATGGTTCAGTGATATAGCGGATGTCTCGACAAGCAAATTTCACAGCATCTGCCTACTCAATTGACATGAGCAAATATTCTTTGAAAACGCGTTTTGTTTTGTCTTGTTGAATGGTCAAAATGATGATGCGATTGGACTCAAAGATTTGCGTGTCGGATTGACATCACAGAGGTTGCGTCAAAAAAAAAGTGTTTTTCCTTGCCGCCCACGATTTCCAACCTTGGAACCTTGAAATCGCATTTGAAGGCAATCTTGGTTCCCAACGATTCAAGCAAGTCTGGCAACTTTCATGCATCGGTATTGCTTGGTTTTGCGTAATGGGCCGGTAACAGAACGCTTTGTTTGGCTTAATGTTAGAATGATATGAAAACATGTTCTTTACAGCCTTTTGTTTTGCTTAATGGGCCGGCATCAAATTGCTTATCTGTAACACGCGGCAGTCCTTGGTAAACGCACACGCCTCCATATGACTAGGTTCCTATTTTCATCACGCTTTGATGTTTTCATATGACTAGGTTCTCCACGCTTGCCACT